TAATTAGTAATTACTAATTATAATWATCATAATGATGGCTTCAATGACGGGTAGTTAATAAATATATCAGRTTATACATAATGTCGTGATATTATATGTATCATGGTTGAGTATATTGCAACAAAATGCAACTTTTATCATTCGCCATGACCGACGGCTTTTACCGTGAAACTTATTTCYAACTTTAATAATGTTTATGACATTGCTGAAATTCTTACAGTGTATTGCCTAAAAGTCGGTAGACTACTATCTCGAAAAGATGATTATGCGGGCGAAAATGGTGACGGAGAGAGACATTGACAAAAAGCGGAATTACGGGACACATGACACAGTGGGATCAGAAACTTTACACGTAATTCCCGGCTTCYGTGTTGTAGGCCTGAAGGCCTTTTTTTTTGCTCTATATACACCTCTAAATTACGATCTAGAGGATTTGGCTCCATTTTCATTTWAACAAAATCCGGGATAACGTGCTCGAAAATCCCTATATGCCCTCAGGCTGGCCTGGCCCGTCTTAACGTCGAACAGACCAAAATCCATTTGTTACGTGTATATACATGCAAAAACATTACGTCGTCTCGTTTTCATTAGTATAATTGACTTGCAAACGACCCGCGGCAACGGCCATAAAACGGATTAAATCAGTTCTACATAAGTATGAAACGTGGGGTGTCACCTGGTGTAGGTAGGTTATGATATAATATAGCAGGGGTGTCCAAACCATACGACCTGCGAATGAGTTATCATCGGCCCACCAGAGAACAGTAAATAATATAAAAAATATGTATAGTAAAACGGTTGTCTCACGCACATGTCTATATTACCTGTATATCTGTGTCATAATAAAATTATATATTTAACCAAGTATATTTAAGTATATTATATAAATACATTTTTTTAAATATTTATAAATATATATATATATTTCTATGAAATAAAAAATTATAAATAGATATATTTATGTACTTTTGGCTCAATAAGATATTTTGATATTTTGTATGGCATTTGCAGAATAAACAAGTTTGGATACCTCTGCAATATGGTGTATGAAAAAATTGTTTTCGMATTTTAAYCTCATCTATCCCCGTGGTGTGGAAGAGTCGAAGGACGGAGTGTATCGTTTTTGGTGACCAAATGTGCGTGTTTTATATACGCGCACTCGCCCCCCAAAAGGGCGCGCATCA